TGCAAGGGAAACATGCGGTTCCTTATCATCTTAACACAAGCTATGAGGCCTCCATTTGCATTTTTCAACCAAAGATAGTTGTTCTCCATATATATTTTGTATCCCTTTCCGAGTAATTGACTGATGCTAAAAATATTACTTTTCATGTTAGGAATATAGTAAACATCGGAAATATACTCGGGCTTACCATCATTTTGGTAGATTTTAATCTTCCCTTTGCCTTCAACCGTGAGTTTTGAAGAATCTCCGAGGCTCACACTTCCATGAACTCATTCTGTGAGTTCCATGAAAAGTTCTTTCTTCCCGCACATGTGGTTGCTAGCACCTGATTCAAGGTACTAAGCATCATTCTCAACACTTGGATCATCATTAGCAAAAAGAAGCATAGAGATGTTACCCACATCATTTGTTGCTTCGGGAAAATTGGTTTGGTCTAGTTTTGTGCCAACAATCTAAAGCATAGTGCCCAAACTTGTGACAGTTATAACACCTGAACATACTTGTTGTTTCCACGCATAGGTGTGGATCTTCCATGATTGCTTCGTCCTTGTCCTCTAAAGCTTTGAGTCACTACTTGATTTTGAGTGGTTTGTTGTTGGGGACCATGTCCCCGATCACGACCATGACCACGACCTCTACCTTGTGAGCCTTGATTACTTAAGAGTCAATGTTGACTCTAGTACTTGTTCCAAAACTATGGAACTAGCATTCTTTTGCATTCGTTGTTCATGAACTTGGAGAGATCCCAAGAGCTCCTCTATTGAGATCTCCTCCAAATTCTTTGACTCCTCAATTGCGCCACCACATGCTCAAATTTTGATGTGAGGGATTAGAGCAAATTCTCCATCACTCGGATGTCCTTCATCTTCTCCCCATTTCTCCTCATTTTATTCACAATTAGAAGTAATTGTGAATAATTATCAAAGATTTTTTCTTCATCTTTCATTTGAGCAGCTTCAAGATCGCCCCTCAAACTTTGATGACGAATTCGCTTCACCCGCTCGACACCTTTGTAGATGGTAGCAAGGATTTCTCATGCTTCCTTGCTCGTTGTTGCTTCGGCAAGTCTCTCAAAAGTAGACTCGTCCAACCCTTGATAGAGTAGAAAACGAGCCTCACTATCCTTCTTTCTTTGCTCTCTGAGAGTCTTCTTCTCTTCGGCGGTGTAGGTGGCTTCTACTGCTGGTGTAGGTTTCGTGAACCCATCAATGATCAGCTCCCACAACTCCTGAGAATAAAATAAGCCTCTTATTTGGATTGACCAACTCTCATAGTTATCTTTCGATAATTTGGGTACTTGAGGATTGATAAGATTATTTTTTGTAGCCATGAGAAGTAGAGAGAATGGAAAATTGGATCAAGTGGCTCTGATACCACTGTTGAACCTTAAGTAAACGAACTTAGAAGTTTCCCAAATGAAGAAAAAAAACTTACTTTTTATTTCTTTAATTTTTTCTTGATGAAACAAGGATTACAATAGCCATTTATATAGGCTTCAAAAACAAAACGTACAGGCACACCAATAGTCACAAATTAAACTCCTCGTTAAATGTCATAAATATAAAATATCATAAAGGAGTGAGTAACTCCTATTCTTCCATAATCTATATCTCTTCACCTTCTAAACTTATAACCCTTGCACTTCTAAAACTCATGCTATTAACCTTATTTATTCTAGCATTTTAATTTGTTATTCCAACACTTTTGCCAAGGAATTCATTTGCCAATACTGCATTTTGTGCATACATCAACGGTGATGACCAGTATCCACACATCCACCATTTCTTCCACATTTCTTCACATCATCTGTCATATATGAAAATAAAGTGTGTTTTAGCTTTTTTTTAACCTGTGATAGACAACAGAAACCTATTTTGTTCATGTTTTCTGTAGCTTACCTCTTCCTATAACGAATCCACCGAGCACCATAATCATAAGAAGTGCAAAAGATCCAACAGTGTTTGCGATGATCATTTGTCGAGTCAATCCAGTAAATGAACCGAAAAAGACCAGATGCCATTTGATTGATAAGTAGGAAGACCAGAAACTGTCTAAAGAACCTGAAAAGTTGAACATAATATAATTATTACTTTCAAAAACAATCTAGGGTTAATTGCAAATAGACCTCCTGCACAATCGCCAAATTTAACTTACTACCCCTGTAGTTCTATTGTTGCAGATAGATCCCCTGAAAGTATTCATTTGTTGCAGATAGGCCCCTGAGTGAAAATTTCTTGTTGCAGATAGACCCCCTGAAAAGGGTCAAAATATATTCACTCAGGGGGTCTATCTGCAACGGTAGAACTATAGAGATACTAATTCAATCTGAAGATAATACAGGGGTTCTACACACAATTAACCCAAAAATCTAGATTGATGTTCTCAGCTTTTCTTACCTTTCGACGTTTGGATCAAATCCTATGACATAGTAAGTCATGAACACCCACATTG